ATATATATATATATATATATATATATATATATATATATATATATGTTTTTCAAGAGCCAGAGTTTCTCTGTGTAGTTTTAAGTTTTAGTGCCTGTCCTGGATCTTGCTGTGAAGACCAGGCTGGCCTGGAACTCACAGATATCTGCCTGCCTCTGCTTCCTGAGTGTCGGAATCAAAGGCTTGAGCCACCACCGCCCAGCTGTTAGGGTGTTTTTAATCCTGGCACACTACAGTGTCCCTTCCTCTTACATACCTATTTCATTAACTTTGGGGCTGTTGAGAGCTTTTGTGGTTTCTCATTCGTGGTCATGTACATTCTGAGAACTTGGTGATAGTTTGCCTTCTGAGCTGAAGAGATTGTGAATCATAGGTAAACATTCTGTGAGAAACAGCTGTGCAAAAGAAATGATGACCTTCTTTTCATTTTCCTTAGTCTGTAATGAGGACATGGTTGTGTTAAAAGACTCAATATGTACAGAGACCTTAACACTTCAGCCTTATTAGATTCCTTTACCTCTTTAGAAGAAATCACTCCCAGAATGTGCTAAAATATAGCTATGTACCAGGATATTACGCTTTCCATCTAGTATTTGAGAATTGTGCCATTTCTTTATGTTTCTTAATTCACATTTTCAGTGGATGTTATAGGTTGACTGAATTCTTTAATTAGATATCTATTTGTAAGTTTTTTGCTGAGAAAAATCAAAGGAATTGGAAGGCAATGTGCTTCCACCATAATTTAATTCTGCTTTATCATTTACTTTATACAGAAGTTTCTGGTAGAGGAAAATTAATGTTTCCATTTCTTTAATGAGTTAATTGAGGTGTTATTTTCTAAATGGCAAAATAGCAATTGAAGTAATAATATATGTTGTCAACATGTGGGCATTTCTTATACATTAAATTTCAATATTTAGTATTTGTAACCATTTTTGAAGTATATCTTTTGTTAATTTTAGTTTTTCAATATAGTCAAGAAAACCATGAACTACAGAAAAATCTAAACAACCCCAGTCAAAGGAATACCACCATGCAAAATAACAGCTGCTTAAATGAAACTTTGAGAAATAAGTCTACATGGTGTGATGACTTCAAACATCAGAAGGAACCAGACACTCTCAATAGAAAACAGAACAGATGCTGTGGGAAAACTAAGGTTGTTTTAGATTGTGTACAGCACACAGGTAAGGAGGGGATATTGAATAAAGAATTGCATTGTTCTGTATTGATTCCTCTCCAGAAGATTTGAAGTCCAGTTAGCAGCTAACAATGCTGGTGATCCCTGAGCTAATGGGTAGGGTTTCTTTGTCTCATGGAGGATCCGGGAACCCTGGAAATCCCTGTGTGGATTAGGAAAATATTAGTCTAGAGCCATCCCGTCTCCACTGCTTCTAGGGGATGGAGCTCAGTCAGCACAGCTGAGAACTCAGGTCGTTTTCATGAGAGGTCAAATCTGAGTCCCAATTTCTTTTGTTGACAGAATGTGGGATTTTCCAGTAAGAGAGTTTTTACAAAATTCTTAGGGTGAAATGGACTTAAAGCATTTACATGGATGCAGTCATAAAAATAAGTGTATGTGTGTGATTTCCTTCTGCCTTGGTATCAAAAAGCTGGCCTGTTTGTGACCATAGTGAAGCTCACTGCAGCACACATGGGAGCTTCACCATGGTGCCCACACTGGTGAATCTCTGTCACTGAATGACACAGAGATGAAAATATCAAGTGTTACAAGGAAACTTTCTTTCCTTGCATCGTGACTGCTTAACATTAATTGACACAGTTTATCATTCATTATTAAGAATTTTTTTTCAAAAGTTAATGTACACAAAGAACTCTTGAATATGATCTCACTGTGCATGATAGCAGGGATTGACAATCTTCATTATTCAAGGACTAATAATATCTTTAAAAATGGAAAATTTTAGAATGTGTGACAGAGAAAAAGAGGAAGTCCCCAAATAGTCATTGAGGCATCTCAGACCCATCAAAAATGTTTTATATTATTATTTTATAATAAAATAACTACCATCTCTAAGTGGCAGCATGATTCTGCAATGCTTGTGATTAAAACACTGAGACAGGAGGACTGCAAATTTGAGGACAGTCTAGGTGTCCAGCAAATTCCAAGCCACATTGAACTGCAGAGTGATGATACCTCTTCTCAGAAAAACAAGGGTTGGACATAAAGGTTTGTTAATAAAGGATGGGTGTCCCCAGCACAGACCAAACAAATAAAACTTCTTGAGATATGGTAGCTATGTAAACTACACATGTTTTAATGTATTCAAATTTGATACTTTGGACATGTGGGTGTACCCTTGAAGGCAAGAGAACAGGAAATCACCATCAAAAGCTTCCTTGGATGTCTCTTATAACTATTAAGGTAAGAGCATCTAACATAGACCACAGTACAGCTGTATGTGTACAGTAGCATGTAGGCCACTGTGGACAGAGTGCATCACTGCAGACCTAGTATTGCATCATGCATGTAACTGCCTCTGAGCAGCAGGTGCTCATTTCCCCTCCCTCCAGCCCCTGGGATCTTACAAACCTCTTCTTCTTAGAACTGGGCTGTGCTGTAAGCCTCATCTGAGTGAAATAAAAAAGTATGGTCCTGGCCCTAGTTTGTCACTCTTTGCATTCTATCTTCAAGTTCATCCACGCTTCTCTGAAAGTCTTTCTTGTAGACTTCTGAGAAAGGGAAGTTATTGCAAAGGCTCTGCTGTCTCATTAGTAATGAATCAGCTCATAACAGGACACTTAGTCCTGACAATTAGTGAGCAGCAGTCAGGAGACATCTGGAAGACTCTTACTACACAGTTGGTCACTTAGGTCAGGATTTCTCTTTAGGGGGTTAGATGTGAAAATGGTTTCATTCTGTAGCCCAGGCTGCCTTGGAACTCACCATATATAGCCAAGGCTGGCCTGGAATTCACTGCTTAACTAGGCTGACCTCAAACTCGAGGTGAACCTCATGCCTCAGCCTATGGAGTGCTGGGCTTGTAGGCAGACATAAGTCATCATGCCCGGTTGGATTTCTTCCCTGTCAAGGAAAAATAGTAATCCTTTGTGTGTATATGATACATTTTCTCTATTGATCATCCATAATAAGCACTTAAATTTCATCCACAGCTCTATTATGAACAGTGCTGCATAGAACATGGGTATGCAGGGGTCTCAGGATTCTAGTGTCTCGATTTTTGACAGCTGTGAGATTTCACTTAGTTATAGATGTGTAATAAATACATTCTTCTGTAGCACAAATCCTAATAGGTCTTATAATAGAAACCCAGAGACATATATTAAGGTAAATGCTGAAAGATCAGAGGAAACAAGCCACAGCCACTTCTCACCTCACCAACTCCTCAGCCAAAAGGGGAAGACCTTGTCTCCAGGAATCCTCAGACTGAATGCCCCTGAGTCTTATCGCCACTTGCCTTATATTCTTTTCTCTGCCCAGCCATATCTCTTCGTGTCTCAACCTTCCTAGTGCTGGGATTAAAGGCATGTGACTCCCAGGTACTGGGATTAAGGGTGTGAGCCATCACTGCCTGGCTCTGTTTCTCTTTTAGATTGGATTGATCTCTTGTAGTCCAGGGTGGCCTTGAACTCACAGACATCCATCTGCCTCTGCCTATAGAGATAGGATTAAAGGTGTGTGCCACCACTGCCTGGCCTCTATGGCTAACTCTGTGACTAGCTCTTCCCTAGATCTTCAGACAAGCATATACAAAATATCACCATAGTCCTAATAATAGAATGATAGAAAAAAAATTTCACCATTGTCTTATCTGTTGTAGGGAAGCGTTTTGATGGACACTTGTTCTGCTGCGGCATAAAATGTTATTATTTCATCATGGACATGGACCATAAACACTGGAGTGGATGTAAACAGACCTGCCAGGACTGCAGCTTATCCCTTTTGAAGATAGATGATGATGATGAACCGGTACCATAGATTCTTACATGCTTCTTTATTCTTAGACTCCTTCTCTAACCCTTGATAGTGAAATATTGAGCCCAGATATTTTTTTTAAAAAAGAGTCCTTCAGCTGTATGTGTTTTTCCTGTAATTCAAGGAAAAATCATACAGTAAGAGTTTTCTAGTCCACTCCTTCCTGCTTCCTATTTAGTGTTAGGACACAGGGTGTTATAAGGAGACTCATTACTAAGGAGACAGTCCTGTCTTTTCAATATCCTCCCTTTGCCAGGAATCTGTGAAAGAATCCTGGAGAGAAGCATATTTTACCTGAATAAGTTTAGTCCTTTGGTATAGCACATCTTGTGACTGACAGTTATGTATCTCCATAGAGTGTCAACTGCACCAAGAGAGGCCACGGTCTAGGGTTGCGCTTCAGAACCCAGAAGTGAGATTGTCTGAGATGAGTAACTGGATGACAATAGAGAAAGTAACTGAGCTCTGGGCCAATCTGCAAAATGGAAATTATATAAGAACCGGGAATTAAACAGTTTTTCCTGTTAGTTGATTTTCACTGAATCTGCCCATAATATTTACTTTTTAATATTCTTATATTTTATAAAAAAATCTATCTTTAGAAATGAACATTTAAAGGGAAGCAAGTGGCCAGGATCCTGACATTAACTGTTTAGTATTGTTACTAAAAAGTTTCTTCAAATACATAGAGGGTATTTTTCTAGAGAAATGGTTAAATAATCAGCTTGAAAACTTTATCATTTAGAATATGATGCACAATTTCTTCACCAATTCAATACATCTGAATAATTATAGCATAAAAAAATTTTAATGTCAAGTAATGATATAATTTTTCATTTGATACAGTAAACATGGGTAAATTTAAACTTATATCATAAAATATAGTCAGTAATTTTATTAGGTATCATTCCACTCATGTGTCACATGTAAGACACACTCTTTACTTCCAAGTATCTCACACTTCCTCAAGTTCTGTCACTTTTGATCTAAGTAACAGCATGGCTTCATTGCTGAAACATGGAGGATAGCACACAGCTTTTGCAGAGGCCTTGGACTTATCACCTGGATTAATTAGGTTTTTAGATAGGGAGGTCTCTTAAGTTGAACACTTCCCACATGCCTCTGTGGTCTTCTAAAATGTGTATTTGAATAATTTCATAAAGTGTTGGGCTTACTTAAGGAGCCAGGGTCTGAAGCTGGGAGACTGAGTTCAATGTCTACATTGGCTACACATTAATACTTTCTCTGAGAAACACGGTCACAAATCATTTCATGAATCCAGTATCTCTAGCCACCTGAAGTTTTCATTTTAAATAACTTAAGTAACTGTCATCAGTTTTGACATAAATGAGCTACTACTGGGAAACCACTTTAAAAATGAACTTGGAGGGACTGAAGGGCTGGAGGACAGGACAGCAGAGAACTGACTTAAGAATAGCTAGGACCTGTTATCCTGTTATTTTCTCACCAGACAGACATTTTATCACAATATGTGTTATTTCCCTTACAGAAGTTCTTACAATCCCAGCTTACTACAAACGGATACTGGATTGGATTAAAATATAATGGAAGCAAAGGGGAATGGCAATGGATTGGTGATGTCCCATCTAAACTGTGAGTTTCCTGAACCCTCACACTCTAACACTGGTGCACAGTTGTGAGGAAGGTTGCAAAGGCTTTTCTCTCATTTCACATGGCTTTCCTCATTTTCTATGGAGCTCACAGGTCAGGACAAGATGCATAAGACAGTGTTTGAGCAAGTGTTAGACAGGGAAGAG